GCATGGAAAACGTTCTTACGCCATGCAACGAGATCGCTCCAGATGTCAATGTCGCTGTGCATGTTTGGCAGTCATTCGCGCCACGCTTGGAGGACGAGCTTCAGCTCCGATGACTTCTTTTCCAGGTTCGTTTCATTGGTGGAGGCGAGCGAACCGAAGATTTGAACAGCCTCCTGCAGCTCGACGAACTGCTGGAAATGATGATGAAGAGGGATGTGCGCGGACGACATGTGCGACGGCAATGCAACCCATTTGCGCAAAGCGAGCTGCATGCCGTCTTCGAGCACCCGCATGAACTCAATATTCTTCTCTTGAAGTGGCGTAGGCCTGATCAGCGCAAGGAACGACTCGAACACACGTCGACAAAGAGTCCCATAAGACGGTAGCGTCTCAACCTGCTCCTGGATCGTCTCCCAGTCCTGTGACCAGTTCTTCGTTCGCCAGGCGCTTTCAAGTAACAGCTCCGGGTTATTATCATTGTGCGCGTAGTCGTGGAGAATAACCCATTGCTGAAGCTTTTCTTGCGCCAGGATCCAATGATCCTCCCAGAAAATGTACTCGCTCTCCGCGTAAGGTAGCGTTCCCGAGCGCGTCTTCTGCTGTGCGGCCTCGTACATGGCGGCAACCTGCGTCCACATGCCATTCTGCTCGAACGAGACAGCGATGTTGGTGTCGTTGTGGAGCGAGCAGCGACGCCACAGACCGTAGAACTGGTCCTCCTCGGCCAACTCCGCGTACAACTCTGCCAGCGAGTCCGGAATGGTGTCCCGGATGGACGGGTCCTCCTCGAGAACAAGGTCCATTGTTTGGAGAAGCTCCATTCCCGCATGCCATGCGCCGAACGTCTTCGCCAGGAACTTGATGACGTGAGGCGGCAGGACGAGAGCGGGTATACAGAGGTTGATAGACGTCAGCAGAGTTTGGATTACATTTGGGCGCTTCTCCGCCTGGCGTGCATGGTACTCCCGACTGAGAACGGAGATAAGATGGTGTGTGACGTCAACCTGATCGCGCCGTGAGAGCGACTTCCACGCCGCCGGAAAGGCCGACATCCAAACATCATGCACGACGTTCGGGTCGATGATGAGCATGTGCTTAAGAGGTAGCACGATGTCGCCGACGCGGCGTGCCGGGAGTACAGCACCTGCAGGCATGGAAGAAGATGGCTTGCGCGAGGCTAACTGATCGGCGTCTAGGTCTACAGCTCCCAGGAGCAGGTGCAACGCGGCGGGAATCCAATAGTGATCCGCCAGCGGCTCCCAGCTCTGCATGCCGATGATGTACACAAGTCGGCTGGCGAGCGTGCGCGGTACACTGGCGTCGAGCAGGTCGACGAACTTCTCGCGGAGCACAATGTCGCGTGCGCGGCAACCCAGGAGGAACGACTGTTCCAGCTTCACTGTTAGATCGCTGCGGCGGAGAGACGGCTCGATGTATATGTCGTAGATCAGCTCGAGGTACGAGTTGAAGAACATCTCTCCGCGAGTTTCGAGCGTCGCCATGCGCTGCAAGAATGTCGCCTTGTCTTTCGTGGGCGGGTACGGCTCGTTCTTCTGAAACGCCCATGTGCGGCCTAGAGCAAGCAGGTACTTGCACATCGTCGGACTCTGGGACTTCTCGACAAGCATTGTGAGTGCACTCGTCAAGAAGCGGCGGTTATCGGGCGGCAGGTGGATGGCGCCGACGAGGCAGATGTCCAGCGCGGAGATGAGCAGCTTGACACTTTGCTCAAAGCTAGCCGACAGCGGTGGCGTTGCACTGCAATGCTCCTTGCTCAGTTTTCCGAGCAGCTTGAACAGCGCCGAACCGAAGCCCTCAATGCGCTCGGGCATCACGCTAATGATCACCGACTGAAGCATGAGCAAAATAGAGCGAACTGCCGTGGCGTTCTGAAGACCATATGAGATCGACATGTTCACCCAGTGGTGGAAGTCGGATAGCAACGGGTGCTGCTCTTCGTCCTCTTTGGGCAACGGGGCACGAGACGGTCGAAGATCGGATGGAGGGCATCTTGAAAGGCGACGTCGGTGAGCAGCCCCTTGCGGACGAGCTTTGACAAGACTACGGCGTTGTCGGGATCTTGATACCACAGATCGGTCTTATCAATCGTAACAACCTGCAGAACCTTGGCGAAGAGCAGCGCGGCAGCGAAATTATCCGGGCTCAAAGTCGTAAGATCGGCCTAGAAAGTATGCAGTGTTAATATACGATGATCGCCTGAGAGCATATGCACTGACCTGTTCAAACATCCTACCAAAGAAGTGCAACTTGACAGTGACATCCTTCCACCCGTTTGTTCCGACGATCTGCTTCAACAGCGCCAACGCGCGGCCGATGATGGAGGTACGCGATGAGCTATCATGCTGCACCGTGGTCAGCCGCACGAGGTAGCTGACCACATTCTCGCGGAACGGAAGTGGTGTGCGCCAAAAGATGGCTAACTCTTGCTCGACCGCCTTCAGCTCGTCCTCCTTCTCCTTCCTCTCAGCTCCCTTCAACTCCGCGCCCTTCTTCGCCAACTCCGCCTTCAAGCCCACGACCTTCTTCTCCAGCTCCGGCTTCTGCTCCGCCGCCTCCTGCTCCCAGTCGACGATGGTCTGCATCAGCTCGATCGACAGATGTCGCGTCTCGGCAGACGCTGAGCCGTGCATTCCGAGTTTGTGCGACGAGTTGACCATATGAGGTATAAACAGTGCGCGCACGGGATAGAAAAGGTCTGCTTGCCGGACGACGACCTACAGTACGGAGAGTCAGCGTGAAGCATGGCGAATACAGACAAGAACACGAACCTGGTAGACAATGATCAACTGCGACTGCCCATGGCTCTCCTCGGCGAGCAACCTCCTCGTCGTCTTCGCCCACACAGGGAAACCGTCCTCAGCCGACTTGCACCGCAGCAAGCTCGGCGTCAGTATATTGAGCGCCCGTCTCACGAGCGTGCGAGACTCGTAGTGCGGTGGCTTCAGCAAACCCGTCCAAGCACGGAGGATGAACTTCTCCGGCGTGTCGTACGCGGCAAAGAAGTTGGCCGCGAGCAAGTACACGACCTGGCGTACCATAGCGTCCTCGCTGGTGATGAAGTTCCATGTGCACTTGATGATGTCGCGACGGGCCTCATCAAGCTGGGGGCCGTAGGTTTGAACCAGGACCGTCGTGAAGTGCAACAGCTCAATATGCAGGAGGTAGTCGCCGTCAAGAAGCGGGTTCTCAGCCATCATAGGCATCAAGATCAGCTTATGGATCTGCTTGACGAGGCCGGAGTCGAGTAGCGCGTCACGCGAAGCTGAGCGTGCGCGGTAGACGATCATGGGCATGATGATGAGCCGCAGAATGGCCGTCTTGTGCTCGATGCCCCACACATCCTGCTCAAGCCCAGCGAGGAAGCGGTAGAACACGCTGCGCTGGTACGCTACGTCGTCGCTGAACGCAATGAGATCGTATAGCAAGCGTGTTGGGCGGATGAGATCCATCGGGTAATTGCGCGTGAAGACGGTGATCATTTCAAACGGCAAGTCGACGCGCGGGCGCATGCGCATCACCTTCACAAAGAGCGCGAGGATGAGTTTGTGGTTGAGGACGGCACTGGAGGTCGTGCCGGCGCTACTGCTCTACCTGGGGGGTGGGAGCACTTGCCGCCAGACGTCGAGCAACGCATCGATCACGAGAGGGTAATCCAAAAACCAGTTGATGTCGAACTCGGAGAGGTCGTCAAAGATCTGTAGCGCAGGCGAGAGCAGCGCCGCGTTGCCGCTTCGAAGGCAGTAGTCGACGAGGTACGGCGTGCGCGTCGCAATCTCGCGAGCCAGGGCGGGTGCGAGGTCGGCCTGAAAGATGCTGCGGTATGTGCGGACGTGGCGTGGAAGGTGCAAGTTGCGCATCAAGAAGTCTGCAGCGTCGATCGGGTAACGCTCGAGGAACTTGGCCAGCGGCTTTGAGAACGGACTCTCGGCCGAATAGTGCATCTGCGCTTCCGTCTGGACGATCGCGTTTGTGAGCGGCTCAAGGAACATGTTTGCCGTCGGCGGTAGTAAGTGGAAGATGTTGGTAAGCGAGACGAGCTTGTCGATAGGTTCCATGGCGCGCACGGGCGTCATCGCCACCGTCGACAACAACTGAGGGTCTGCGACGACGCGGTAATGGTCCAGTAGCTTGTGCCCGATCTCGACCTTGAAGTAGATGGTGAGAAGCACGAGCAAGCGCGCGAGTCCTTCGAGGCAAGCGACAGACGGGCGCTTCGGGTCGGCGAGGTTCATCAAGATAGGACGCAGACCCGTTTGGAGAAGCTCCTTCGGCAGACGGCTTTGGTGCGCGAGCAGGACCTTCAATCCGTCGTGTGCAGCCTCCTTGACCTCGGGCGACGTAGAGTATAGCGACTTGAAGTACACAGCCGTAAGCCTGTGAACGACATCAGTGCACATCCAGCGATCTCGACATCTGATCACTTACTTCCGCCTCGTCGTCGGTTGCCTCGAATAATAATCCGTGAGCGGCAAGCTCGCGCTCAGCAACCTAATGCATGCTATCCGCAGCCGCATGATCTCCCTCGCACTCTGCCTCGCATTGTTCCCTCTCCCCATCAGAGTTTGATCCCCCGCGTCTGCCAGCGCCAACACCTCATGCAATAGCCTTGACAGCTCGTCGTTCACCTCCGGCAATGGTGGGTCTAGCGCCGCTACGTATCTCATCGCGTCGATCATCCCAATCTGCATGTTGAAAGGCAGCGCGCGGAGAGGCTTGGTGTACACACGCTCGCGCATGGGTCGAAGCATCTCCGAGACTTTCCGCCCGACGAGCGTTGCGACGAGATCGATCGCTTCCTCAGCCGTCTTGCGTACCACGCTCGACGCCGCGCTGAGTTCAGCAATCAAACTTGTGCCGGCTTCGGACGGTCGGGCATCGGCTCGCCGGCCGGGATAGGCCGTATGGCGAGGCGCACGATGCGCTGCAACAGGTTCGTGACGAGCTCGATGTTGCTTTCGCTTTCGCCGGTCATGTCCTTGAGGATATGAAACAGTGTCCTCGCAATCTCTGCTTCGCGTTCGTCGAGCCACCGCAGCTCAGCGTTAGGTGTGTCAAGCAGAATCTGGATGCCGATGACGCACGCGCGCTTACGCGCCCAACCGTCCTCCACTGCTAGCGCTGTTAGCCTGCGTGAGAGGAATCTGAACGTCGGCACCGTATCAGCGCTCGCCGTCCGTGCCGCAGCAACGAAGTCAGCAATGACGGCCGCGACGAGTGTTGCGCTTTCGTTCGCCTCCCCTCCCCGGTTGAGCGTGAAACCGTACACAATCGCGTTCGTGAGGCCAGTGAACACTGGCGATGCGTATGGCGGCGTGCGCGGGTCTGCAGCCTGTGTACTAAGCCGGCGCAGCTCGAGCGCGAAGAGGCTGGCCGAGACCTGCTTGATGAAGTCCGACGCTTGCTCCTTAAGGCTCTCGATCTTGAGCGCGTCGAAGATGCCCTCTAGCGCTCGTTCTAGCACTTCCTCCCGATTCCTCCCACGCGCACGGTCGGCTACGAGCAGAGCGGCGCAGTTCTCAAGGAACGCATACGCGTGTGGGATGTGCGAGCCCGTACCACCCTTTCTCAGGGAACGAGCGGCAAGGATGCTTGGCTGCGTAAGGTTGATGGTCTCGAGGTCGCGGCCCATGGATACGAGCACTGCAGCGGGTGCGGCGTAATGCCTACAGTCCATCTCGGGTTCGAGATCAAGAAGATGCCGATTGCGACCGCCGAGTTTACCTAGGATACGGAGTGCAGTATGCGAGTGTTGATGATTGGCTGGAAGAGGGCGGAGGAGATCGTGGAGTGCATCGGTGAGCTCGCGGAGGACCGTGTTCAGCGTCGGGTCGAGACATCCGGGCGTGAGGTTGTCGATGAAGAGCTCGAGCGTGCGCAGGCCTTGGTTGACGAGGTCCGTGGGGCCCTTCAACGAGAGCGCGAGCGGCTTCATCAGGTACTGCAACTGAGGCACGAGATGCGTGAGGCGTGAAGGGACTGCTCGACCACCAGGTCGCGCGCGAAGCCGTCGGAGACCATGAGCTGCGCGTTCAAGTTCTCCAATATCTCCGGCAGTAACGGGTGTATGCGCTGGTACAATAGCTCGAAGCGGCCTTGACCGCCGCCGACGGCGCGGAAGAGAGCGCGAAGGAGGTGATAGTAGTTGACCGCCTTGTTCGAATGTGCGGCACAACTGAAGCTATCCATGATGAGTCGCGGCAGGAAATGCGCAAAGACAGGTTCGTTGATGGATGGTAGCGCGATCATCGAGCTGAAGGGAGCTTAAAAAGCTTTATCGTCATAACCGCCGTCGTGTCGTCGTACTCGCCAAGCTGAGTTAAGTGGTCGACGAGGTACTCCAACACAACAGCGACCAGTGTTGGCGAGACATGCTCCTTGCCGTAAAGCAGCTGAGGGAGATGCACGAGTCCAGGCCGTTTGCGCGCACATTGGAAGAAGTCCATGCGCCGCGTCCAAACTTGCTGCACGACGTGGGCGTCCATGTCGTAGAACGCTTGCGCCAGCCACTCCATAAGCTCCTGCGACTCGCGCGTCTCCGGCTCGTAGAACGTGAGAGCAGAGATAAACCCGTTGAACAAGCGTGTGACAAGTGTGCCGTCGACCACGGTGTCCTCGACCTTCTTCAGCGAGGAGAAGCAAACGCGCAAGCCAGGTACGAGCGTGCGTATCAGCAGCCGGATGCCTGTCATGTATGTGTGAGCAGGGTTTCACGTACGGAAGTACGTGAGCAAAGGCTTACCTCCCAGTACCTCCTCGGGGCGCTCAGTGGCGTATACCGCGGGCGCAATGGGTCGGGCAGCTTCAACGACATGAAACAAGGTGTTGTCGTCCTCGCCCTTTTTTCTGAGCTCGATCCGCTTGAGAACCTCGGGTAGGATAGCCACAGCGGTTTCGAGACGGTCTACAGAGACCTCCAGCAAGAGCGTAATGATGCGCACGGCTTCATCGCGGGACTCCTTGCTAACGATTGTGTCGAAAAGACCGAAGAGCATCTTGCCAGCCAACGTGTGCATACCGTTCGAGAGCGCCGGGTTATGAAATAGGCGCGAAAAGACGTGAATGCCATGGGCTAATTGTGTCATTGTGAGTTCGTTCCGAAAATGGTGCACTAGGTCCGCGATTGCAGCGAACGCGGTAGCTCTATCGAAGCAGGACATAAGTAAGAGGCTCGGGATGAAATTACATCAACTCATGCATACCGTAGTGTCTCCCGTGTACTCGCATTGCGCCCAAGTAGCACGTTTTCGTCAAGCAACTTGTCTATGTGCGATAGGATTGCCTTGCGTTGAGGTAGCGTAAGCAAGTGTCGGAGCACAACCATATGATCCTGCATGAAAGCGCGTCAGTACCCGCGCCTTTGAATTGTATAGTGAGTATGCTTACACGACGTGAAGACAGCGCCGTCGCGGGAATGTCCTGCAGGATGCGAAGCGCCGCAAGCTCGAGTCCCTCAAGAAACTTTTCCGCGTACTCCGAGTGCGTTCGCATGATGTATGCAAGATATGAGACCATCTATTACAACGTGTCAACACCATGCAATCCCCGGTTCTACTGTAATGTACCTTGATCTGTGCCGTGATGTAGTCCGTATATGCAGCAGCGTTGGGTATCGTAGGGGCTCCAGAACCCGCCCATAGCTTCGAACTCCGCCCGTGCCTCGCGTTGTGCCGGTGCTTCCAGGCAGGTAGCCTCGTACATGCGAGGTACGATGCCCTGGAGAAGAGGCATGAGACCGGCGAAACGCGGCGTACTCTGTATGGAGCCGATGGTTTGAGCGAACGTGACGATAACGATGCCCATCTCGCTGAGTACACGGAAAGAGCGCATAGCCGGTGGTAAAGCGCGAGGGTCTGGCGGGGCCATATGAGTCTCATTGATCATCTGAGGTAGATGCGCGAGCTGCTGGCTGAAGATATCCTCGCGAGCGATCTCGTCGGTGAATATCCTGCACGTCCTGACAATGTCCTGGATCGCGCGACAAGCCGTGACTCCGTTCTCTTCATTGTCCTTCTTCAAGATATCGAACGTCCCGCTTAACAGCATAGGCAGCACGTTCCGGCTACTCTCCTGGCTGCCACAGGCACTCCAGTTATGTAATCAGACGCGATGCAGCGCCTCCATCAATATTCGCCAAAAAGTGTATTCGGCGCTGTTCGACACGGACACTGCCTCTGCGCCTGTGGTGACCGGACCCTTATGCAGCGCTACTTCATCGATTGTCCGCATCAGCTCGAGTCGCGTCGGCACCAGACTCGGGATCATTCGGCCAGCGTCCGCGTCCTGCACTCCATCCACTGCCTCCCGCAACTCTCCCGCCATCAGCACTCGCGTACGCATGTCTGCGCTCAACGTCTCAGCCGGTGCCACAGCGCCCAGCCAGAGCAAAGTACATACCGATACTCCTGCCACCCATCCTGTAGTAGATCCCGGGAGTAGGGAAGGCAACTCCGAAGCCGTGCTAGACATCGAGGTTTCTTTGATTACTGACAACGATATCTGACCCTCTCCAAAGCGTAGACCTATTGAGATATAGCACGCGGGCATCTAAGAGATGAGAAGCTTCCGTAATTATGAACGAACCCATCGTGGGAGTGGGAGGAGAGGGGCGCGATCCGCCTGCAGTCGTTTCTGGACGCGTGTTTTTACAGCTCAGCACGTAACACACTCAACGTACTCAACCTTGCCTACCTCATAAATCTCGCTGTGTCTTCAATGCACGCTATCGATGCGGACTTATATCTACTCGATATGGCTGGCGGCTCACTTTCTTAGCGTTCCCGACGGCCATACAACGAGGGCTACTTGTCTTGGCTCCACCTGCGGAACCGTGCTCGACAGTACAGTCTTCCAACGGATACACTTCCGCGGGTGTAATAGCTACAAATGCGCAGTTCGCAGCAACACTGACAGGCCGACGATCCCCGGGCTCAGTGCAAGCCTCCTGCCCACTTTGGGAAGCACCGAGCAGCGTTCATGTCGTCAAGACCTGTGTGGCGACTGCTAGTAGCGCGCACTCAGGCGCACTAATATGCACTATGACTTGTTCGTTCTTTCGTCGGTGGCGATATTGTGAGCATCACGCCTTAGCGATTAATTTCTGGAGTACTGACCAACTTTGGTGCGTCCGACTATAGCTTTTACCACATACACGCACGGCCGCTCAGGCACCGTTCTCATTTCAGCCGAATGCGCCTAGCGCGACACGTTTCTCATCTCTGCTCGTAGGACCTGCCCACCCTCGCGCGCCCGCTCTCTCGCACCCGCAATACTCTGTCCGTCCCGTAGAGTTTCGGGTAACTTCTCGCGGTCGTCAGCTCTGCGGTCAGCATGCGCGACGGGATATCCTTCGACATGAACGCTGGCAGACTCTCTGGATACGCTAAGAGCGCACTCGACGCGAGCACTGCTTCGGCCGCATGGCGCATTCTCACGCAGTCGATAAGCAGGTAAGCCATCCTCATTCCAATTACTGTTACATATTTGTTTTAAACATCAATCATAGACCCCACTGGTATACCATCAGCTGGTACGGATGCGGTGGCTTTAGCGGGCCTGCGACACGTTGGGAAGAAGAGGAGGATGTACGCGCGGCGTCGGGGTGTAGGGAGAAGGATGTTGAGGCGGGCGATGAAAAGTCGGCATGTAAGGAGTACACAGCATTCAGGATTCGGAAGGCGTATGATCGCTGTTTTACAGCTCGGCAGTCTGTGTCAGTGTTGCGCAGGGGGGCTACAGAGGCTACGGATGTTATTGCAAAGCAAGATACTCTCGATTTCAAAGACATTATTGGTTGCCGTTGTACTCGCGCTTCCCTCTGCGCAGCACCCTCGCGTCGCCAGATGCTTTAGTAGGACCTGCTCGAGGGCTCGCCACACGATGCCTCGGACGTCGAAGCGCAGGAAGAACATCCTACCAAGGGCCTATGTTCGCTTCAGGGCTTCGGTCAACAATGCCAATTGTCGTCGTCGCAACGAGCACCGTCTCTACCATTACCCAATCAGCCTTGCGAGAGCGAGCATGGTGGTGAAGAGGGAGAGGAGGAGTATGAAGGATACGAGAAGGAGCAAGACGTCAGGCCATGTACCAGGCAAGGGGGAGTGTCGTCCTCGGGACGCACGTTGACCTCCATGTCAAACCTCGGTCATCCAACAATGGCCACAATCCATCCACACTCCGCCGCCCGGTCTCGCGCGGTGGTAGCGTTTTGCTTATGGACGCATTCTCGGCGGCCATGCGATTTCATCCTGAACTACAGAGCAAGTGCACGTCGCCCAAAACTCGGCCGGCGGCTCCCGTGTCTTGGGCTCGACTGGGGATGCAGAGAGCT